GAGGAAACCAGGAGCGGTAGCAGGTACTCGGCAACAGTCCTGAGCAGGTGCACACTCGACTGGATCCAACAGGCGGAGGCTCGGGTGAAGGGAAGCAGACATGGAGCAGGAAGACCAGCCCTACCACCCTGGAGAACGTTGGCATGCGTAGGGGGGCTTTACCTCCATAAGGAAACTCCAGGAACCGCAGCTTCGGTGAAGAACAGGACGGGGCAAAACAGCAGGAGATGAGAATGACCCTGACCACCCCGAAAACGAAATAGGATGCGCCAGGATCTCCCAGAGGGCTCGACCACCCCGAGAAAGGTAGGATGCGCCGAAAAACCAAAAACTCCAGGCCGAAATCTCCCTCCGCTGAACGGGAAAAAAAGAAAAAATAAGAAACAGATGTCAGGGCTCACCACAGGTCCAGGTTGGTTGGATCATTCTATCATGTTTTGAGGGTGGAGATGGTAGGACCATGTGTGTTGGTGGGTTCAGGAGGCAGGAGAGCAGGCACAGATGAAATAAAATGGATTTAATAGTAACCGGGAGCGACAGGACAAAACGAGGACATGCACATTCAATGATCCAACAAAGACAGGTACAAGACGGGAGGTGTAAATACACAGGGAGAATTAGGAACACATGGGCATATTAACGAGGGGCAGGTGAGAACAATAGGACTAATTAAGGCAGGAACGACACAGTCAGGGAGGCCGGGGCAGATCATGACAACAAGGTGTCTGCCAAACAGACTAACCCTGGGAGATGGTTCCACAGGAGAGGAGCCTGATAACTAAAAGATCTGCCTCCCATCCTAATTTTAGATATTCTGGGAACCACCAGTAAACCTGCAGTCTGGGAGCGAAGTGCTTGGTTAGGAACGTATGGAACAATCAGATCACTGATGTATGATGGAGCTTGATTATTAAGAGCTTTATATGTGAGAAGAAGGATCTTAAAATCTATTCTGAATTTAACAGGTAGCCAGTGTAGGGAAGCTAAGACAGGAGAGATATGATCTCTCTTTTTAATTCTCATCAGAACTCTAGCTGCAGCATTTTGGACAAGCTGAAGACTTTTAACTACATTCTGTGGACTTCCTGAGAGTAATGAATTACAGTAATCCAGTCTTGATGTAATAAATGCTTGAACTAGTTTCTCAGCATCACTCCTGGAAAGGATGCTTCTAATCTTAGCAATATTCCGAAGGTGGGAAAAGGAAATCCTACAAACCTGATTAACCTGGGATTTGAATGACATGTTCTGGTCAAAAATAACACCAAGATTCCTTACTTTGTTCTCGGAGACTAATTTACTGCCATTCAGGTCAGGTGATTGACTAAGCAATTTCCTTTTCTGGATTTCTGGTCCAAAGATGAGAACTTCCGTCTTGTCTTGATTTAAAAGCAGAAAGTTTAGAGTCATCCAATTTTTTATGTCCTCAAGACAAGCCTGTAATCTACCTAACCGATTAGGTTCATCAGGGTTACTGGATAAATATAACTAAGTATCGTCAGCATAACAGTGAAAGTTTATCCCATGCTGTCTAATGATTTTACCAATTGGGAGTATATATATATATATATATATATATATATATATATATATATATATATATATATATATATATATAGTAAAAATAATTGGTCAAAGCACTGAACCTTGTGGTACTCCACAAGTAACCCTGGAGTATGAAGAAAATTTGTCATGTACATTTACAAAATGAAATTTGTCAGACAGGTAGGATTTAAACCAGCCTAGCGCTGTTCCTTTGATCCCTACAACATGTTCAAGCCTTTCTACAAGAACATTGTGATCTACTGTGTCAAAAGCAGCACTGAGATCTAACAAGACTAGAACAGACACAAGATTCTTATCTGAGGCCATGAGAATATCATTTGTAACTCTCACTAATGCAGTTTCAGTGCTGTGATACTCTCTAAAACCAGACTGAAGTTCCTCAAACAGAGCATTAGTGTTTAAATGCTCACATACTTGGATGGCCACTATTTTCTCCAGGACTTTGGATACAAATGGAAGGTTAGATATTGGTCTATAATTCATTGGGTCATCTGGATCCAGAGAAGGATTCTTAAGTGAAGGTTTGATTACAGCAACCTTAAAATCCTGTGGTACATATCCTTTACTAAGGATAGATTGATTATATATAGAATGGGGGCAGTAACCAAAGGAAATGCATCTTTAAATAATTTGGTTGGGATTGGATCTAAAATGCAAGTGGAAGGTTTAGATGAAGCTAATATTTTTGATAACTCTGAAAGCTCAACTGGATCAAAACGGTTCAAAAGCAGATGAGGTTCTACAGTTACCTCTGATGCTGCCTCACTTACTGAGGAAGAAGAAATCACATTAGGGAGGATGCTAAAGATTTTGTTTCTAATAGAATTAATTTTACTTGTGAAAAATCCCATAAAGTCATTACTGCTGATGGCTAAGGGAATAGATGGTTCAGAGCTATGATTCTGTGTAAGTTTGGCAACTGTACTGAAAAGAAATTTAGGATTATTCTTAATCTCCTCAATTAATACTGAGATCCTCATCTGTGCTCCAGACAAGCTGGTTCCCAAAGTCAGAGACTCTCTTGGTCAGCTTGCTTATCACACCAAACCTTCCGTCAGGAATCTTGGCATGACCTTTGACCCAGCTCTCACCCTGGATTCTCATGTCAGTTCTCTTGTTCACTCTTCCTTCTTCCATCTCAGGAACATTGCAAAGCTGAGTCCCATTCTGTCCCGCTCTGAACTTGAGACAGTTCTCCACACCTTCATCTCCTCACGCTTAGACTACTGTAACTCTCTTTTCACGTGTCTGAGCAGAACCTCCCTGAACCGTCTACAGGTGGTTCAGAATGCCTGTGCTCGGCTTCTGACCAAGTCCTCCAAACACACCCACATCACCCCGCTTCTCCTCCAGCTTCACTGGCTGCCAGTCAACTTCAGGGTTCATTTCAAGATCCTGGTTCTGGTCTATAGAGCCTTACATGGACAAGCACCATCTTACATTGGTGATCTTCTCAGTCCCTACACCCCCAGCAGGTCCCTGAGGTCCAGTGACCAAAGCCTACTGGTTGTGCAGCACCAGGCTAAAGACCAAAGGTGACAGATCATCTGCTGCTGTGGCCCCCAGACTCTGGACCTCTCTCCCCCTGAGCCTGAAATCAGTGGACTCAGTGGTCTCCTTTAAAAAGCAGCTGAAGACTCACTTGTTCAAGCTGGTTTTTGTGTGACCTTCTTCACCACTCTCTCTTTATGTGGCAAGGTGGATAAACGAGGGCCCGGGTGGGATTCGATCCCCAGACTCCCGGGTGAGAGTCATATGCTCTAACCAGTCAGCCAAAGGGACATCCCCTTGGCCAAGTAGCCAGGGTGCATGATCAGTCGGGACACGGTGACAGGATGCTCACACTGTCACATCTTCCCCTCTCTTTCCACAAGCACGTCCTCGTGCTCCCGTGCAGGTGCCACAAACTTCACATCCATGGACCTACTTGACAGTACTACATGGATCCTGCCAACAACGCCAAATGTGGCAAGGTGGATAAACGAGGGCCCGGCGGGATTCGATCCCCAGACTCCCGGGTGAGAGTCATACGCTCTAACCAGTCAGCCAAAGGGACATCCACTTGGCCAAGTAGCCAGGGCACATGATCAGTCGGGACACTGTGACAGGATGCTCACACTGTCACATTTATTCTGCTCTCCCCACCTATTCCACCTTCCTCAGGATCCACTGATTTCCCTCTTTCCTGTTCACTTTCTCTCTTTCTTAACATTTTTTAATCACAATTGTCTTTTTTTGTGCTCATTTTAAATATATTTTTAACCATTTTCTAAATTATTTTTTATATTTTTACATTTTTTGTTTTTGTGAAGAACCTCGTGATTTTTATCTTGAGAGGCGCTATAGAAATTATATTTTCTTCTTCTAAACTAACGCCATCCAGCCATTTGCAATAGCTGGTCTGAGCCTAAGGGAAGGTGCAGCTGGAACAGGAAATTGCACGCATGAGGCTAAAATACACTCACTGGCCACTTTATTGGATACACCTTTCTAGTTCCGGGTTGGACCCTCTTTAGCCTTCAGAACTGCCTTAATCCTTCGTGGCATAGATTCAACAAGGTACTGGAAACACTCCTCAGAGATCTTGGTCCACATTGACATGATGGCATCAAGCAGTTGCTGCAGATATGTTGGCTGCACATCTATGATGCAAATCTCCCATTCCGCCACTTCTCAAAGGTGCTCCACTGGATTGAGATCTGGAGGTAGGCTGTGGCATTGCAACAATGATCATTTAGTAATAAGGGGCCCAAAGTGTGACAGGAAAATGTCTCCCATACCATTACATCACCATCACCAGCCTGAACCTTTGATTTAAGGCAGGATGGATCCATACTTTCATGTTGTAGATGCCAAGCTCTGACTCTATCATCTGAATGTCGAAAACCCTAGAAATGGTTGTGTGTGACGATGCCAGAAGATCAGGAGTTTCTGAAATACTCAGACCAGCCAGTCTGGCACCAACAACCATGCCATGTTAAAGTCACTTCAACCACCTTCCTTCCCCATACTGAAGCTCGGTTTGAGCTACAGCAGATCGTCTCAACCATGTCAACGAGCCTAAATGCAGGGAGTTGCCACCATGTGATTGGCTGATCAGTCATTTGTGTTAACAAGCAGTTGGACAGGTATACCCAATAAAGTGGCCAGTGAGTGTACATACTGTAGTGTGCTGGAGGCCTCTGACTCTGAAAGGCCCTATACAAGTGTGGGTCATTTACCATTCACAAAACTGCTTTGGGTGGGTTTTCATGAAGAAATAACAATGAAACAGGGTCAACAGCTCCATTTAAACATATAATCCTTCACTGTTTAGTGTGCTAATCCATTCACACCTGTCAAGCAGAGAGCACTGTTTGTGTTGAAAATAAAGGCTTTTCCAAAGACTGAACAGAACCTCAGCATTCTGTGGAGTTGTAAAGTCATTTACTGAGTCAGCGGTTCTATGAAGGGGGCGTCAGTAGTCCTTTACATGCGTCCAGGTATAAAAGGAAAGGGTTAAACCAGGTTTGAAAGCAATCCAGAGCAAGAGCAACAACTCATCTGCAGTCAACATGAGCAACACTGGCATGAGCATGAGGGGAAAGGTAGAAACACCACAAACAGGTTGGCTTTTCTGGTAATAAATGCTCAGTAAAGTAGTACCACTGACTGTTTTTCAGATCATCTTCTACGAGGACAGGAACTTCCAGGGTCGCTCCTATGAGTGCATGAGCGACTGTGCTGACATGTCCTCCTACCTGAGCAGGTGTCACTCCTGCAGGGTGGAGAGCGGCTGCTTCATGGTCTATGACCGTCCCAACTACATGGGAAACCAGTACTTTTTTAAGAGGGGCGAGTATGCTGACTACATGAGCATGACTGGATGGAGAGACTGCATCAAGTCTTGCCGTATGATCCCCATGGTAAGTTTCAAACTCTTCCATCTCTGACCTGCAATGCTGGAATGTCCAGAGCCTGACGTTTGTTTCTATTATAGCACAGGGGATCCTACAGGATGAAGATCTACGAGAGGGAGAACTTTGGTGGTCAAATGCACGAGCTAATGGATGACTGTGACTCCATCATGGACCGTTACCGTATGTCTGACTGCATGTCCTGCCATGTGATGGATGGCCACTGGCTGATGTACGAGCAGCCTCACTACAGAGGCAAGATGATGTACATGAGGCCTGGAGAGTACAGGAGCTTCAGGGAGATGGGATATGGAGGCACGAGATTCATGAGCATGAGGCGCATCATGGACTCCTGGTATTAAATACGTCCGGGTCAATGCAACTCAATAAAACTGTTCAAGACTAGCTGGGCTTTGTCGTTACTTTGGATTTTCTCAAATGCTACAACACAAAATTACATCTTTAATTCTAATTCAAAACTATTTCTTTACACATCATCTTCAGCACATCACAACACACACAGACCATCAAAGGACTCACACCTACATACAACTGAATAAAAACAATAATAAAAGGCTTCCAATCATTGTGGTCCAATCCCCGGTCACCTGGGCTGTGGTGCAACATATAACAGATATACAGGTGCTGGCCAGTAAATTAGAATATCATCAAAAGGTTGAAAATATTTCAGTAATTCCATTCAAAACGTGAAACTTGTACATTATATTCATGCAATGCACACAGACCAATGTATTTCCGATGTTTATTACGTTTAATTTTGATATTTATAGGTGACAACCAATGAAAACATCAAATCTGGTATCTCAGAAAATTAGAATATTCTAAAGGCCAATGAAAAAATGTTTGTTTCTCTAATGTTGGCCAACTGAAAAGAATGAACATGAAAAGAATGTGCATGTATAGCACTCAATACTTAGTCGGGGCTCCTTTTGCCTCAATAACTGCAGTAATGCGGCGTGGCATGGACTCGATCAGTCTGTGGCACTGCTCAGGTGTTATGAGAGCCCAGGTTGCTCTGATAGTCGTCTTCAGCTCCTCTGCATTGTTGGGTCTAGCGTATTGCATCCTCCGCTTCACAATACCCCATAGATTTTCTATGGGGTTAAGGTCAGGCGAGTTTGCTGGCCAATCAAGGACAGGGATACCATGGTCCTTGAACCAGGTGCTGGTGGTTTTGGCACTGTGTGCAGGTGCCAAGTCCTGTTGAAAGGTGAAGTCTGCATCCCCATAAAGTTGGTCAGCAGCAGGAAGCATAAAGTGCTCTAAAACTTCCTGGTAGACGGCTGCATTGACCCTGGACCTCAGGAAACAGAGTGGGCCAACACCGGCAGATGACATGGCACCCCACACCATCACTGACGGTGGAAACTTTACACTGGACCTCATGCAACGTGGATTCTGTGCTTCTCCGCTCTTCCTCCAGACTCTGGGTCCTTGATTTCCAAAGGAAATGCAGAACTTGCTTTCATCAGAAAACATAACTTTGGACCACTCAGCATCAGTCCAGTCCTTTTTGTCCTTGGCCCAGGCGAGACGCTTCTTGCGCTGTTTCTTGTTCAAGAGTGGCTTGACACACGGAATGCGACACCTGAATCCCATGTCTTTCATGAGTCTCCTCGTGGTGGTTCTTGAAGCGCTGACTCCAGCTGCAGTCCACTCTTTGTGGATCTCCCCCACATTTTTGAATGGGTTTGTCGTCACAATTCTCTGCAGGGTGCGGTTATCCCTAGAGCTTGTACACTTTTTTCTACCACATTTTATCCGTCCCTTCGCCTGTCTGTTAATGTGCTTGGACACAGAGCTCTGCGAACAGCCAGCTTCTTTAGCAATCACCTTTTGTGTCTTGCCCTCCTTGTGCAAGGTGTCAATGATTGTCTTTTGGACAGCTGTTAAGTCAGAAGTCTTCCCCATGATTGTGGTGCCTTCAAAACAAGACTGAGGGACCTTTTAAAGGCCTTTGCAGGTGTTTTGAGTAAATCAGCTGATTAGAGTGGCAGCAGGTGTCTTCTATATTCAGCCTTTTCAGAATATTCTAATTTTTTGAGATACCAAATTTGGAGTTTTCATTAGTTGTCACTTATGAATATCTAATTTAAATGTAATGAACATTGGAAATACATTGGTCTGTGTGCATTGCATGAATATAATGTACAAGTTTCACGTTTTGAATGGAATTACTGAAATATTTTCAACCTTTTGATGATATTCTAATTTACTGGCCAGCACCTGTAACTGATGGTGACCTGGTGTAGTAGGAGGGAAGAGCACGTGAGGGATCTGAGGAGATCTGGGTGCCATTCCTACAGGCTCTGGTGTTGTAGGGCATGGTGAGGACAGATACATTTCATTTGCACCGATAAGAACTGAGTTGGAAAAGCTGAGTCTGGAAGTGATAAATGCATGAATAACAGATTCTATTCTAAGTGCGGCCTCTTAAGAATGGGCTTTAGTCGAGTAAGGCGACGAAGCTGGAAGAAGCAGGATCAAACAGTGGCATTAACATGTGCGCTCATTGACAAATCAGCATCCAGTTTAACCCCAAGGCTGATCACACAGGAATTAAGGTTGAGGGGGGAGAGATCAAAGGCAGCAGAAGTATGCAGATCATGTTTTGGTTTGAAGAGAATGGCCTCGGTCTTATTGTCATTGAACTTCAGGAAATTGGAAGCTAACCAGGTTTTAATTTCTGAGAGACATTCTGAGAGTTGGGTAATGGAACTTGACTGATTTAAAGCCATATAAATTTGACAGTCACCGGCGTAAATGTGATAATGTAGGCCACGCTTAGCAATGATGTTTCCCAGTGGAAGAATATATATAGAAAAGAGGAGTGGACCTAGAATAGAGCCCTGGGGAACTCCCCAGGGGAGTGGGACAAAAGGAGAAGAGCAGTTGCCTATGTGAATGCTGAAGCTTCTATCAGACAGATAAGAGTGAAACCAGTTTAGCGCGGTCTTTGTAACTCTAACAAAAGATTCCAGCCTTGTTAGCAGAATGTTATGGTCAACCGTATCGAATGCTGCTGATTGATCTAGCAGTAGTAACAGAACAAAGGAACCAGCATCAGTTTCTGTCAGAATGTCATTTAACACACGAATGTGTGCAGACTCGGTGCTATGATTTGGCCTAAAAGCAGACTGAAAATGGTCAAGTAGTGAATGTTCCAGTAAATGATGTGAGAGTTGAGCATGTACCACTTTTTCAATAACCTTGGATAAAAAAGGAAGTTTGGAGATTGGACGGGAACTTGCATAATCATTTTGATCCAGGCCAGGTTTTTTCAATAGTGGTTGGACGACCGCCTTCTTAAAGGATTCTGGAAACACTCCAGAGGACAAACTGTAATTTAAAATATATTAAATAAAAGGACCCACTACTGGTATAACCCCAAGTAGCAACATTGGGGGGAGGACATCCGGTGGGGAACCTGAGGGTTTCATAAACCTGATTAATTTATCAAGATCTTGAAGGGAGACATGATCAAAATCAGAGAACGGAGAACAGAGTGACTCTTTCTGGGTAACAGGTCCCAACAGATTATGTCTAATAGTACAGATTATTTCCAGGAAAAACATTCTGAAAATCAGTGCATGGTGCTGTAGTTGGTGGATTCCTTTAGTGAAAGAACAGAGTTAATGGTACTGAAAAGCTTGCGTTGATCACCACAATGCCTCTCAATGATGTTGGCAAAATAATTATTTTTAGCTGATCTGACAGCTTTTTGGTAAGCTGCCAGGGAGTCTTTCAGCATTTGTAGGGAAATTTGTAGCTTGTCCGTTTTCCATCTACGTTCAAGTGTCTACATTCAAGTGTCCTACAATGGCATCTGAGAGCACGAGTGTTGTCATTTAACCAGGGATCAGAGATGGTCTTTTTTTGCCTGAGTTTAAGTGATGCATCAGCGTCTAGTGCAACACAACAAGCCATATTGAAGGAGTCCACCAAACCATCTACTCCCACAGATGTAGATGGGGAGAAAGATGTCAATAGGCCAGCCTCCAAGCTAGATGACAGCATAACTTGACAGCATGACTTAATTATTATTCTTATTATTCTGAGCTACTACAGCAATCAATTTCCCTCTGGGATTAATAAAGTATTTTTGAATTTGAATTGAATTGAATAACAGAGGACGAGGAAGCAATATAGCGAGCATAACATTTAGCTTGATGCCTTGTAGGGAGAGATAGGTTTGAGATATTCAAAATGATTGGAAAATGATCAGAGATACACACATGATCTACAAATAAATCAGAAACTCAGAGTCCAAAAGATAAAACTAAGTCCAGTGTATGGGAGCGTTCACGGGTAGGATCCTTGACCAGTTGCTGTAGATCAAATAAATCTAAAATGTCCCCAAACTCCCTTAAGATTAAGCATTATTGGCAGCGGGGGAAGACGTCATGGATGCAAAGTATTTTTTATATAATTTTAAATGGGCTACATGCAAGTTTTTTGGCCAAAATAAACGTAACAATAGGCTATTTATTTGAGCATTTATGACTCCTCATCTAATAAGCAGCAAACTGTCACACGGCAATGTGGTATCCACAGCCAAAAATGGTCACGCTCGGACGTCTAAAATTTGTGAAAACATATTTAACAGAAAATTCCCTTAAAATCCATTCAGATATATTTTTACATGTCAACATTTTCATTTATTATAGTTATTTTGACAAGTAGTGGCGTGTATAGCATCTAGTAAAAATTGGTCTGACGGTAACGTGGTGTCCACGATCAAAAATGGTCTTGGAAGGACGGCTTAAATTGGTAAAAATAAATTGTAACAGAACTTTTCCCTAAAATTAATTCAGATATATTTGTTCATGTCTACAGTTACATGTAAAATTGTTATTTTGACAATTACATGTGTAGTTCAACAGAAAGCATCCCAGCAAATATTGGCCGGACGACAACGTCATGTCCATTGCCAAAAGCTGTCGCCGTCGAATGGCTTACATTGGTAAAAAATATGTAACAGAACTTTTCCTAAGAATCCATTCAGATCCATCTATGTCTACAGTTATCTGGGGTTACGTTGACTTGTCACATGTAGTTCAACATAGAGCATAACTCCACTCGGTGGCATGAGCATATTATGTCAAAGACATAACTCAGCTGGTAAGGCGTCTGCCTGATGTGCCGAGGATCTGAGTTCATATCCAGATAGGAACATACGATATTCCGATTGCGTTTGTGATTTGTTATTTTTTTCACTAATGATATTTTTTACAATGATGATATATATTTTTTACATTAATGCAGTAATAAGAAAGCCACAGAAATATACAGCTGTGGGCTGCAGTGTGACTGGAGGTATTCTACAAACACAAGAACAGGGCTAATGTCTATATGTGTTGTTTTTACATCGTTCATGACAGCCT